TTGGGTCAAGAAAATTTATACTTTACATGGGTTCTCAACTTGTAATAGTTCTTTATGATTTAATAAATAAACGACACTAACCTGATTGTGGGATTAAAAAAAAAAATAAATAAATTTAAATAAAAGATTAGTACTAGATGCAAAAGATAAAAAACTAGTTTTATTTGATATAGTTTAAATTTAATATAGTTTGAAATCAATATTTACTCTGTTTGCTATATATCAAGTCATATTTAAAAAACAAGCATATCAATTTTAGTTATAACTTGAAGATCAATTTGTATACAATATTTATAATATCTTTATATAATTATATAATTAATTTTTTCTAATAACTAGATATCACTTAAGATATAATATAGGTTTTGAACTTTTTTTTTTTTGCTTAGATTGTTATCATTTTTAACAAATAACTTTTTTTTTTTTTATTCATTTAAGTTCAAAAGAATATTATTTTTAAGATAAATTTTTAAACTCTAGATTGAAATAGATTAGTTTAAAATTAATTTCTTTAAATTATATAATAAAGTCTGTTATTACCAGTTTTGAATTAAAGTTTGTAAACTTTTATTAGAATTAGATCAAAAGTCTTTCTTGTATAATCTTTTGTGCTTTAATCTGTTTTTAGCTTGCAATTATTAAAAAGATTAGAAATCATATTTTTATACAACCTAAGTAAATTTGGATATAATTAAGAATTATTGGATATAACTTATATAGAATATTTAATAAATTCATATATAAAAATAAATCTGTTTTTGCCTTCTGTGAATATTGAACTAGAACTATCTAAAAGCACTATCTACTATATTATTAACTTATAAGTCTATTATCAAAATATTATTTATTATATTATATTAATAAAGTTTAATGAATTAAATACAAATATAATATTTTTTTTTAAAAAAAACAATTTTAAATTAAAAAAAATTTTTTTTATAATTTTTATTTAAGAGTTTTTTTTGAGATTTAATAACAAAATCAAAAATTTTAATTTAATTTAATTTATTATATAGATTTTTTTAATTAATAAAATTTGAAATAATTATATTTGGTTAGTTAAATTATTAAAAAGTATTTTAACAAGATATTTGAAATATAAATTATTTATTTATATATTTAGAATATTATAATTAAAAAAAAATTTTTTTTATATTTGTGTTTTTACTTTTTGATAAGATTTAACATAATTTTCAATATATGAAAAAAAACGTTTATTATTTTACAAATTAAAATTTGCGTTTTTTTATATTTGTTTGTTTTTAAAAAAAAAAATCAAAACAACCACTATACAGTATTTGCATCAAGATAATATACTGTACATGTACAAGTATATTATGGTATTATTTGAATGTTATTCGATCTTTGATTATTTATTTCTTGGAATTTGTTTTTTTTTTTTATATCTTAAATAATAATAATAATAATGGTAATAATAAATGGTAATAATAATAATAATAATAATAGTGGCAATAATAAATTTTTTTTATTTTAATTAAAAATCTTATGATATTGTAATAGGTTATACAGTAAATAAGTTATTATTATTCTTTCTTTAAAAAAATTTTTTTCCTGTTAAGTAATTTAAATGGGTGTTTGCATGTAAATTTAAGAATACCGCGTCCAACACCGCGGCTTCTTATTTTTCAAAAGTCCAAACAAAAAAAAAAAAATGCTTAATAATCAAAGCAAAACTTGATTACGTTAATATTCAAGCTAGAACTATCTCTGAAAGTGTATGTTAATCCGATTTAACTTTAGCTAGTGAAAAAAAAAAACATGCAAGAGGAATTTCTTTTCGGTCAATAAATCAATTCTGCCAAACGAATGAACCGAAATTGATACACAACTTGTTTTAAATAAGTGCATTCAATCCTAAGACTTAAATAAGCGGATAAAGTTTGTTTAATGTTGCACAATAGAGAAGGTTATTATAATAACAAGTCAAATGCGTACACATGCCATTCATACCAACAAAAAAAAAATACTGAAAAGATGGGAACCTGATAAAATGACGTGTTATACTGAAAAAGTACACAAAACCAATCAACCAATCAATGTTTGAGATATTTTAAGTGTTATTGCTTTATTTTAATATATTATGTATTATAATAAGTAGTCCGACTATGCAGAGTTATTCAAATTTTTATAAATATAGTTGATTTTGCTTCTGTTTCTTTTCAGAAAACTTCTAAAGAATCAATTGTCTGAACTGTCTTGTCGTCCGCAGTTTTCTTTTTCAAAGGGATAAATTTCTTTTTTTAAAGGAAAAATTTCGGTCAATTTCAGTTCAGCTCCGAAGTGCTACATAAATAAAAAAAGAATTTTTAAACGATTCTCTTGTCGAAAAAAAAAACGAAAAATAATTTTATGCTTTCTTTGCTAGAGACAACCATACAGAATGACAAATCCACAGCAACAGATTCCTTTTGCCTCATCTAAGATGTCTCCACCACCACTCTCTCCAATAAATCATTCGAATGTAATTCCTTCCATGATAGTAAGTGAGAATTCGCCTACCGATGAAGTAGGTGACACTGGCAAACAAGCGATATCGGCATCACAGCCACCACAGCCAGAAAAAATTACCAACCCAAAAAGTA